GCAATGCTAGGCATTATAGAATTTCACACCAAAAGGGACATGGTTAAAATTAACCCAGATAAATCCGAAATTATGTGTGTCTCTAAAGGATCAAAACAACAATCCCAATCATACAACTTCAACGGAAAAGAAATAAAAAGAGTAGAAAAATTGAAACATCTAGGTATCACTAGAGCTACAAATGGCAAAGTCAACTTGGATGAAAGACTTAAAACAGGCCGACAAACTATATATGCCTTGCTAGGGTCTGGTCTACATGCAAGAACAGGAATGTCACCCATAATGCTTAAAAAAGTATGGAAAACCTACGCTGTCCCACGTTATCTTTATGGGCTCGAGGTTCAAATATGCACAAAAAAGGATATATCTGAACTGGAAAAATTACAAAGGAAGATATTTAAACAATTCCAATGTCTACCAGAAAGAACAGCATCCGCAGCAGTATATATACTAATAGGAGCTGAGCCCATTGAGTCGATTTTAGACAAAAACATGCTAGCACTATTTCTCTCAATCTCTCGCCTGGATAGCTCGATAGAACGTAAAATATTAGAATGGGAATTGGAAATTAGTTCAAATTTTGACAACTCTTTTATTTGTCGTATAAATAAAATTTTGCAAAAATATCAATTGCCAAAAGCAGAAGAAATTATGGAACATCCTCCATCAAAATATATGTGGAAAAAACAATTGAAAACATCAATAAATGAATACTGGTCTTCAATTTGGACAAGAATGTAACACAAAATCAACACTTAAACATTTATCTCTTCAAAAAAATCCGGTCTATAATCCACATAACATTTGGAAATGTGTTAGAAATAACCAATATGACATAAAAAAGGCAGAATTCAAATGTAAGCTAGTAACTGGTACAATGTACCTACATGCTCCAAAGTACTAGGGCAAAATTTAGTAAAAATGCTATTCAACCAAATTGCAAGCTATGCAATGAATCTGAAGAAACCTTGGAACATTTCCTACTACATTGCTTAAGTCTATCTGATGTTAGGCAGCGATATATGGATAAATTATTCAAAATGCTACGAGAAATAGAAAGGGGTGGTACAACAAATGTTATTAATAATGAACTATTACTCAAAATTATATTAGACTGCTCAGCACTAGACATAATGAGTAATCAACCAATAGACAAGTTGCTAGATATAGAAAGGAAGACACAAGATTTATGCTACCATTTACACATGAAGCGTACACAACTTTTATGTGATATCAAGTGACATGAAAATATAACAGTAATATTAAATATAGTCTGAACAGTCTGCATGGGATGCCAAGCTAACTGGTTCAGTCTATAAATATTAGCATAAAAGATGCTATATAATTTTAACATTTGCCTTGGCAGGGCACCTATTGACTAGAAATCGTTAGGTTGTAAAATTTTATTTATTCATATTGGTGAATCAAAGTGCCGTAATTTGTAACGTGTGAATAATATTATTTTTTTTTTGTATTAATATCTTTTAAAATATCATCAAAGACATTATAAACTTTTATTTTATTCACTTTAACTAACTAATTTTATTTTAAAATTATATATTTTTCATATCGTAAATATAAAAATATCCGCTTTTTCGGTTAAGTATTTAAAATTTTAATACTCATTCGATAAGTGGAGTGCTCCGATAAAACGGAGGAATATACCAGAACAGAACAGAACAGAACAGAACAGTTGATGCAAACTTAATTTGCAAACATTCTACTAATCGTCTGCAAAATGTTGAGAACTAAAACAGGAAAATTTCAATCGAAAAAATCCTTTCTTAAACAGTTCAAAGCTCAAGAGTCAAAAAGAAATTTATCGGTAAGTCACCCTGTTGATGAGCCGACAATAGAAGACCACAACTACCTGCATGATAACACTTATCCGGTGCTCTCAAACTCGGATCTTGGACTTGGTGCAAGCTATACGGTTGATCCAACTCAAAATGACGACTGGAAGACAGGTAGACGGATAGTCGAGCTACAAGCCTTAGCCCAACAGATGTATTGCACCTCGTGTGATGCTCGACTACACCTGAGCGACATTGAGAACGAGAGAAGACATGGACTAGGGAGCATACTATTCATACGATGCCAGAACAGTGTGTGCAGTTCATTGAAGGATGTAAGAACTGGAAAGAGAAACAGCGGATCATTTGTCATCAATTCAAAACTAGCACTAGGTAATCACAATGTTTTTCATATATATACATTAAAATACCATACAAAAAATTCGTTATAATAATAAAATGAAAGGGAACAACCATGTAACTTAGGGGGTGGGGGGGGGGGGGGGGGGGGGTATTAAAAAAATTACTGTGATTTCAATGCCAATGGGAAGGAAAAATCAATATTCTGTCGCAGATTTGTTATTTTTAAACCATAACCCCCACACCTTCAACTGCAGTTAAAAGATTGTTTTCGTATTTAAAACAAAAACAAAAAACATACAAGATTAATGGCTGTTGCATTCAACATGTATCTTTAATACTCTATAGTATAATACTTTTAAATGAATTCAATCATTCAAAAAAAAAAACCTGGTGCAAACATTGAAATTGTAGGCTTTTTACAATGTCTTTTCTGTGGATGCCCAAAATAGGACAAATGCCTGTGTCAAAAAGGGTTTAGGGTAGCTACATATAGTTATACTAGTGGCTCCCAAGGCTTTGAGAAATCAACTGGATATTTGGTTCAGCAAACAATACTTCTGAACTGGTCTAGACTGTTTTTTAGCAGACATTACGCATATAATTTGGACAAAATTAAAAGTTTTACTGGTCATTTTGTCATGTTGGTCCAGTAATGCAATACATTTAACTGGACAAGACCAATTTTTACTGGACTTTGCCCAATGTCCAGCAACCTTGGGAATTACTGAATATACACGCATATACATATTAATGATGCCAGAAAAAGATTGCTATCAAGGATCATTAAAAACAAACTTCACATATAGAAATAATACCAGGCTTTTCATGTGATTAATTTAAGTATTGAAAAAAAAATATAAGATAATAGAGAAGAAAAGATATTGGGTATCAATCCATGACACAAAATCAATAAATGCACAAGAAATAACACTAAATTCAAAAGAACAGTCCTTGTATTGCTGTTCTTCCTCTCAAAGTCACAGGGAGACCTTCAACACAGAGCAAAAAACTCTCAACTCAATGCAAGTTTAAGACGTCCCTAGCAGCAGGTTTTTTGCAAAATTGAAGAACAAAGTTGTGCAGTGATACCAATAAAATATATCTGGATTTAAGAAATCTAACATACATACATTGTATACTATAATAAATTTCCTGACTAATTGCAATCACTCTGAAGCGTGGAAAAACAGTACAAACATAATAATTAGTTCCCTAAGGCCTAAGCATGAATTCGAATGTGACTATACATGTACCGGTATGCTGTAAATATGGGCTGCAGTTTACATGGTTTAGAAGAACAACTTAAAGTTCTCTCTACAAAAATAGAACAAATAAAAGGCAGCTAATTTGATGTAACAGATGCTGTTCAGTCTATAAAGGTACTAATTACAGTTCATCATATGACAGTTTTAGACCACAAACATTATCCTTAAGAGACTAGACCAGTTCTTACATCCTTCAATGAACTGCACACACTGTTCTGGCATCGTATGAATAGTATGCTCCCTAGTCCATATCTTGTATTATTTTTAATTTTAGTTTCTTGTGTACAATTTGGAGTTTAGTATGGCGTTCATTATCACTGAACTAGTATATATATTTGTTTAGGGGCCAGCTGAAGGACGCCTCCCGGTGCGGGAAATTCTCGCTGCATTGAAGACCTGTTGGTGACCTTCTGCTGTTGTCTGTTCTATGGTCGGGTTGTTGTCTCTTTGACACATTCCCCATTTCCATTCTCAATTTTAGTATAATAGTTTAATACAATGTTGGATAATTAGCTTTGTACAAAGAACAGATTGAAGATGAATATCAGTTGCTATTTTAGTGTTCAAATGATGAAATCAGTGTTGCAATCTATAGTTAGATTAAAGACCATGGTGATTATTCAATTCTTCATGACATTCTTAAATAAAATAAACTTATGATTATATCATTGTACCATGTCTGGGAACTTTATGGGTAAAAAAATATTAAAAAAGAACAGAATAAATTAGCCGGAATATATATGATGGCTAAATAAGTCGACATTTTTGTGTTATTTTGCACTCCGTCTGTCTGTCTGTCCATCCGTCAATCCGGCAAATCAGTTTTCCACACGTTTTTCCTTGTGCTTGAAGATATTAATTTGATATTTGGTGTATAGATCTATCATGACCAGTTACAGTTCAAGTTTGAATCCAATGCTATAAGGTTAAAGATGAAATTTTACTGCTATACAATTTATTATTTCGGTCTCCATGACAAAAAAGAGCAAGCACATGAACTTAACTTCAGATTATATTTAAACTTGTGTGAATGCCCCCCTCCAACCCAGACCCCTAGAAATAAAACATATTAAATGGTTGTTTCCCCTTATCATCTAACAGTGGTGTTATGTTTTTGTCCAGGTTAATTCATATAATGCTGAGTTAGACAAAAGAAAAGTGTATGACTTGTGTAAATTTCATGCCCATCAAATTTCCTCCCTAAGATGAAATTTTGCATTATAGGGAAAAAAATGGTGTTGGATCAGGCAGTCCTGAATTTTATTTCTTCCTTGAGTAAATAAATAATGGATGAAAGCATGAGTGGCTTATTAGCTCATTGATAAAAAATTCATTCTACTACCACAATGTATACATTTATAACTTCTCCACAGCTTGAAAATGAATACACTATAAGTATGTCAATTTGACAATTATGATTTTAATAATGGATTGATATTTCTGTTGATGCATTTAATGTAATTAAAAATGTGACTGTTCTCTGAAGCAATTGTTCTTATTAATAAGTATGCAAAACATTGTAGCCATGGTACACATAGGAATGGGCCCAGTACAAATTAAAACTTGCTGGCAACTTTAAATTTACCACCAGTTGTGCTGTCCACTCTTAAGAGAAGGGAACAGAAGATTGACACAACTCTGGAGACCATAGCCAAAAAATCCTGTCTTGAGGCCCAAAAGGAAGAAATTGAAAAGGGAAATGGAAAGGTAAAAAACTTAAATTTACAAATGATTATATTTATATTATCATAAATAAAGTGTATTATCATAGAGCAGACAACAGCCGAAAACCACCAATGGGTCTTCAATGCAGCGAGAAACTCCAGCACCGGGAGGTGTCCTTCAGCTGGCCCCTAAACAAATATGTATACTAGTTCAGTGATAATGAACGTCATACTAAACTCCAAATTATACACAAGAAACTAAAATTAAAAATGATACACGACTAACAAAGGCCAGAGGCTCCTGACTTGGGACAGGCGCAAAAATGCGGCGAGGTTAATCATGTTTTTTGATATCTCAAACCTCCCCCTAAACCTCTAGCCAAATCATACATTTTTGTAAATAAAGTTATTTTTATATTTGAAGAAGAAAATTCATGGACAGGTTACTTACTTAAAAATAGTGATTATCGAAAAGTGCACAGCAATTACATATATATAAACACCAGAATTTCTAAACAAGGGGCTGATTCAGGACTGGCTTGGTGTTGATCAGGAGCAATATTTTGGACATTTTTATGCAAAGTAATTATATTGTTTTAGTTAAAAGGAAAATATGTCTTATACTCTGTTGCCTAAATCTGCTTCTGTAAAAACAGCTTTGGGTATTTGAAAAATTATACATGTTATGTATATGTTTCTTCTGGCCTATAGCCTAACAAATACTGTGTTTGTTAATGGCTGAAGTAGCCAGGGGGGAAATTTCAGTGCATGTATTTGCTAGACTTCTTTACCAGTTATTTTATATACTATTTATAGGGATTTTGTATCAAATTCTCTTAGAATATCTTTTCTCATTAAAACATGAGTATTTTTTTTTTTTACAGTTAATCATAATTGCACTGCTAAATTTTTAGTTGTTGTTGAACATAAGGCCACTCTAAAGAAATTCATTGTTTGATGTTGCCTACCCATGCATTTTAGGGTTGGGTAGGGAGGAAGGGATTTTATTTTGTTTATGGCCAACAACAAAAATTACATGTTTTAGACAAAGAAAACAATGTAAAAGCAGGAAAAAATCTTTAAATAAAATGCTCCGCTGGGGCGCAGCTTGATACGACCGCAGAGGTCGAACCCTGAACAATTGGGGCAAGTATGGACACAACATTCAAGCTTGATACAGCACTGAATTTGGATTGTAATTAAATATTTGACACAGCATAGGTTTCTGACACAGAATGAATGTGGTCTAAGAACTTAAATTTTTTTAATTTACCTATTCAAACCATATCATTATTATTTGCTTTTATATATAAATCAGAAATAACCAATTTAAAATGGAAAATTTTAAAGAAAAAAGGAAAAAAAAATCCCCCCCAAATTTTTTGAACCCCCTTATGATTCATCACCCCCAAACTCAATCCCAGCCTTCCCTTTGTGGTATGGTACCTTGCAGTACAATTTCAGAGAGATCCATACACTTGAACACAAGTTATTGTCTGGAAACTAGTAAAATGCTTGTTTTTTTGGCCCCTTTTTGGCCCCAAATTCCTGAACTTTTAGGGCAATTACCCCCAAACTCAAACCAAGCTTTCCCTTTGTGATATGGAACCTTGCAGTACAATTTCATAAAGATCCATACACTTACACACAAGTTATTGTCCTGAAACTAGAAAAATGCTTGTTTTTTTGCCCCTTTATGGCCCCTAATTCCTAAAATTTTGAGGGAATTACCCCCAAAATCAATCCCAGCCTTCCCTTTGTGGTATGGTACCTTGCAGTACAATTTCATAAAGATCCATACACTTGAACACAATTTATTGTCTGGAAACTAGAAAAATGTTTCTTTTTGGCCCCTTTTTGGCCCCTTATTCCTAAACGTTTTGGGCAATTACCCCCAAACTCAATTCCAGCTTTCCCTTTGTGATATGGAACCTTGTAGTACAATTTCATAAAGATCCATACACTTACACACAAGTTATTGTCATGAAACTAGAAAAATGCTTGTTTTTTTGCCCCTTTTTTGCCCCTAATTCCTAAAATTTTGAGGCAATTACCCCCATAAATCATTCCCAGCATTCCCTTTGTGATATGGAACCTTGTGGTACAATGTCAGAGAGATCCATACACTTACACACAAGTTATTGTCATGAAACTAGAAAAATGATTGTTTTTTGCCCCTTTTTGGCCCCTAATTTCTAAAATTTGGAGGCAATTACCCCCAAAATCAATCCCAGCATTCCCTTTGTGATATGGAACCTTGTGGTACAATGTCAGAGAGATCCATCCACTAACACACAAGTTATGTCTGGAAGTTACAAAAATGTTTATTTTTGGCCCCTTTTTGGCCCCTTATTCCTCAACTGTTGGTACCATAACACCCAAAATCAATCCCCACCTTCCTTTTGTGGTATTGAACCTTATGGTAAAATTTCATAGAGATCCATTCACTTAAACTAAAGTTAGAGTGCGAAAACCAATGTGTCTTTGGACGATGACGACGACGCCAACGTCATACCAATATATGACCGCAAAATTTTTTTGCGGTCGTATGAAAAAATATAAAACTATTTGTGACATAATTATTTTTCTGGTAGACTGCTTTTTAGATGGTTAGTTCGGCAACATCAAACAATTCAAATTTTATTTCTTGCCTAACATGAATTGTTCAGTACATGTATTTAAGATATGTATCTATTTTTTAAAGATTGAAGTAAGCTTTGACGGTGGGTGGCAGAAAAGGGGTACAGGATGGAATTATAATAGTAATACAGGTGAGAATTTTTCTGTTTTTTTACTTGTACAAAAAAAAGAAAGATGTGGTATGATTGCTAATTTTAGACAACTATCCACTATAAACCAAATGATTTAGATATTAGCAATTATAGGTCCCACCATGGTCTTAAAAAATGAGCAAAACCAATACTGCAAAGCAAGCCATAAAGGGCCCTGAAATGACAAATGTAAAACAGTTTAAGGTGGATGGGGGGGGTCTTAATTAAAATCCATAGAATTTTTTAATAATTTGTCAAAATGTAGTTTTTATCATGCTGTTTTCCAAAATATAATAAACAATCGACCTGATATATGTACGAAAACAATGAATCAGAAAAAATAAAAGAACCGAGTTCCAAGGTCCCTTGTGTTGCACATTTTTTATTGTCCAAGGTCAATAACTAAAAAATAAATTAAATTTTTAGTTCTTTAAAACTTTTTAAATAATTATCTTATAGAAATATAGGCAATTGGAATGCTTACAATGCAATTTTCAATATAATTGATATTTTCAAGGGACATAACTCTTTTAAAAATAATTGATCTACGCTGATTTTCGAATTTGTCCGAGACATTGCTGATAAAAACCTATGATATAAATTTCATAAAAATCTGGTAAAAATTGTACACATGTAATTTTACATGTAATTAATATTTCCAAGAGGCATAACACTTTTAAACCCTGCCTTCATGGTCATGTATCTGTTTGGCATCACTTTTAAGTAAAAATAACATGCATAATTTCAGGCCATGCATCATTGATTGGGAAAGAAACGGGAAAGGTACTACAGTTCTCTCTTAGAAGTAAATCTTGCCAGATATGTGCCCTTCATCAGAGCAAAAACCACACTATACCTGTACATGAATGTTCAAAAAACTGGGACGGGTCTAGTAAGGCAATGGAGCCTGACATGGCAATATCAATGGCCAGAGAGTTAGAGGAAACTGGATGTTCAATAGATGTCATCCATGGTGATAACGACTCGACCACAACTTCTCGTCTGCAAGCTGTTTTCCCTTCCATTGAGAAAAAAGATGACAGCAACCACACCAAAAAAGGTATAACATCAAAACTATACAAGCTAAGCCAGAAATATAAAGTGCTGAAACAACCAAATGTCATTTCTTACATTGGAAGATGCTTCATGTACGCCATAAAAAATTGCCAGACAAAAGACCCAGATAGCCTTAGAAAATCACTGGATATTATAGTTCCACATTTATATGGTGACCACTCCCTTTGTGCCAATGAAGATGTTACCTGGTGCAGTTATCAGAAGAATCCTTCTCAGTTCAGGTATAGTACTACTATAAGAAATTTACGAATTAATTAAAGCAATTTAATGCTCCTAATACTATTGTATATATTAAGCATTTATTGTACAGGATATCTTTAAAATTGGTTAGCAGCTTAACAATGATGAGTTGTAAAGTCTTAGCAGCATGAACCAAAAAAAAACAGGGATTAACTCAGATGCCCTGGAAAAGTTCTTAATATCTGTCGTCTGTAATCCTCTTATACAGTATATGTATAACACAGTTCAATAACAATAAGGTTTCCCAAGGTGCCAAGTATTCAAGTAAAAAAGTTATAGCATTGTTTGTTAGTTGATATTAATATGTTAATATAAAATGTTTCTGTATTACTATAGGTAATATAAAAACAAGAACACAAAAAAAAATTGTCTAGATTCATAGCCAATAAACACAGACAGTTGAGTAATGAGAATGCTTTGTATAATTGATTTTTTTGTTTTTAATCTAAAAAGTTGTTTTGGGTTGAGATTTTTATCCTAAACATTTAAACAATCAATTTTATAGGTACCGCAGTCTACCGGAGGGTAAGCCTCTCACATGTCCAAGTCTTCAGACAGATCTAAAAGCTATTGTGAACAGCCAAAAGGATAGAGCTGCCTGCTTGACCAACTTAGGATCAACCCAAGCAAATGAGAATTTTAATTTCATCGTTTCAACAAAAGCTCCAAAAAGCAAGTAAGATATCTGTTCATAATCATAATGAATTAGGATTTATATGAGTTTATTTGACATAGCTAATATTCATGAAAATTTGCATACAATGAAATTAAGTTCATGAAAATTTGCATACTATGAAATTAAAATGATATCTTTATATACATTAATGTAACAGATGTAAACATTGTCTGTCATAAATATACGATCAAACTGTCCATTAATCTTGAAATATAAATGCAATTTTTAGCTCACCTGGCCCAAAGGGCCAAGTGAGCTTTTCTCATCACTTGGCGTCCGTCGTCAGTTGTCCGTAAACTTTTACAAAAATCTTATCCTCTGAAACTACTGGGCCAAATTTAACCACTTGGCCACAATCATCATTAGGGTATCTAGTTTAAAAAATGTGTCCGGTGACCCGGCCAACCAACCAAGATGGCCGCCATGGCTAAAAATAGAACATAGGGGTAAAATGTAGATTTTGGCTTATATCTCTGAAACCAAAGCATTGAGAGCAAATCTGACATGGAGTAAAAATGTTAATCAGGTCAAGATCTATCTGCCTTGAAATTTTCAGATGAATCGGACAACCCGTTGTTAGGTTGCTGCCCCTGAATTAGTAATTTTAAGGAAATTTTGCCGTATTTGGTTATTATCTTGAATATTATTATAGATAGAGATAAACTGTAAATAGCAATAATGTTCAGCAAAGTAAGTTCTACAAATAAGTCAACATGACCAGAATGGTCAGTTGACCCCTTAAAGAGTTATTGCTCTTTTATAGTCAATTTTTAACAATTTTTCGTAAATTTTTGTTATCTTTTACAAAAATCTTCTCCTCTGAAACTACTAAGATGAATTTAACCAACGTTGTAAACAATCATCATTAGGGTATGTAGTTTAAAAATTGTGTCTGATGACCCAGCCCGAGAACCAAGATGGCCGACATGGCTAATAATAGTACATAGGGTAAAATGCAGTTTTTGACTCGTATATCTAAACCCAAAGCATTTCAAGCAAATCTTTCAGAAAGAAAATTGTTCATTAGGTCAAGATCCATCTGCCCTTAAATTTTCAGACCATTCAGGCAACCCGTTGTTGGGTTGCTGCCCCTGAATTGGTAATTTTTAGAAATTTTTTCAGCTTTTGGTTATTATCTTGAATATTATTATAGATAGAGATAAACTGTAAACAGCAATAATGTACAGCAAAGTAAGACCTACAAATAAGTCAACATGACCAAAATGGTCAATTTACCCCTTAAGGAGTTATTGCCCTTTATAGTCAACTTTTTACAATTTTCATAAATTTTGTAAATTTTTACAAAATAATTTCCACTGAAACTACTGGGCCAAGTTCATTATAGATAGAGATAATTGTAAGCATCAAGAATGTTCAGTAAAGTAAGATCTACAAACACATCACCATCACCAAAACACAATTTTGTCATGAATCCATCTGTGTCCTTTGTTTAATATGCACATAGACCAAGGTGAGCGACACAGGCTCTTTAGAGCCTCCAGTTTCATTGTTCAATGGATTTAAGTGAAAATAAACAACAACAAAAAAGGATGCACAAAATGAAGCTATATAATTCTTCTCTGTTTGATCCCAGGACAGCAGGTAAAACCATAGACTTGTTACCTTGTGAACTACATGTTGCATGTTAAAAAATCTGGCTCAGCCTGTCAATCTTGTACATGGCAAGTTGCATATTCATTATCATAGTTACATTTGAAATGTTCTTATCCTGAATATGCATTTAATCTGCCACTATATAATTTAAACATCCAATCAGTCATTAATTCTGTCAACACTTGCCTCATTGTTCATTGTAAACATGTTGTGCTGCATTTAATTTTCCTTGCAATTACCAATTCAACTGCATTATATATATATATGAGACCTTCAACTTTAATATTCACAGGTCATTTGGATCAAGCAAATCTCTGACAGGGAGAATTTCAGCATCTGTTCTGCAGAAGAATGAGGGTCACAAGTATTTAGAAAAGGTTTGTGTTAGATATAGAACTATAAATGAGAAACGGGCAGGTAGATTAAGCCTGGTCTGTGGAATGATTGTAAGGTGTACATTTCTGTCTGGCAGGTTTCGTCTGACCTTGATGTCATTTTCATGATTCGAATCTTTGTTCATTGTTAAGTTTTTGTGATTTGGTCTGTATTTCAAATGCTAAAGGCAATAAGTCAACTACATCTTGAGTATTGAATTATTGCAAGCTGTACAGTCTGGCAGGCTTCACATGACCTTAGAACACTAAAGGAAACAATATTCCAAGCCATGTAGTTATAATGACACGGAGACAAAAATATATGGATATTAAAATTTCACACAGAAAAAATGTTCATAAAATTGTGCTACATTTGTGTACATTATTTAATCAACTTTATCAATACCAAGTAGAAATCTGATCCAAGTCAAGGCCTTGAGTGCAGGACTGGAGGTGGTGGATTAGATCCCCGGCTGAGTCTAACAAAAGGCTTTAAAACTTGTATTTGCTGTTTATCGGCTGAACATGCGGCTTTTTATGAGTGCATAGGGGCAAAGTCAAAATAAATGGTTCCCTGCATATAAAGCAATATTTATCAATCATACTGATCCTTTGATTGAATAAAGTAATTTCAAATGATGTGGCTTGATGTGTAGAATATTCCTGCAAAATATATTCTCAATTTTCTGCTCATCAAAGTTGAAGTTGTTGTAGACTTTGATGGTTTGTTTGTATGCACTTAGCCTGTCTGGTTTTCTTCTAAAGTTCAGTTTCACAACCATCTTTCACATCTTTCATAATCATTCAAAGGTTGGATCATAAAAATTGATCTCAAAATGTGCAAAACTGCTTGTTGTGGAAAATTCATGTCAGGAGTTCAACACAATTAATTGTTTGTTATTACAGTTACTAGTATAATAATTTGATTTGTATAACATGCATGACATGAAACCATTATAAAACTTTTAAATTGAAATATGGTTATTTTCTTATCAAAAGACACAGTTTATGGCAATTAGTTTCCTAAATTCAAAAATTATATAAAAATTCATCATTCAGATATAATTGCTTGTGACAAACATTAATTTTTGGATCAAAGTCCTACTTTGAAATTCACTCTTAGGAATTTATTATAACTTATACATGTAGTCTTATTATATATAAATAGTAAGAAAACATATTTGAAGGCAAATAAGTCATAAGGAGCTGATATTATCTTAAAATATAAGTCCAAGAAAATAACATTTTAAAACTGTTGCACTCCTGACATCAAAGAAATGGCGCAAAAAGATAAATTCCTTGTCTAACAGGCTACTCTTTGGGTGCAATCTTGTATCTAGTATAGTATCTTTTGAAAAATAAAACAGAACAATATGTTGGCTTTTGTATTTATTAAGTGTGAGTCTTTAAACTTCAAAGTTGCACTCCTGAAATTTATAGGGAAGCCTTTTTTACTTGACTATCACACATTATTTATATCAATAATCAGGTTAATAAAGTATTTATTCTGGAAAGGACATATCTTTTTTACAGGATTGACTTTTGTTTATGTTTAAGAGTGATTCATATATTCAAAAATCATTCTATTCCTCAGTTGTACTAATTTTTGTGTTGCACTGCTGACAGGGCACTACTTTTTTTCAAACACATCTGTATCAAAATGATTTAATGGAAAAGCTTCATTCTGAGCTTAAATCATCACTAAGACATAATAGTTGTAAAACAAATAAGAATTTAAGGCACATATCTTCAGACAACAATTTGCTGTGTCTTTAAAAAAAAGTATTTTTTCAAAATGTCACAAAAAAGTGTTGCACTCCTGACAATTTTGGCATCTTTTTTTGAACGTCATTTTTTTAATACTTGAGATTTTCCAAAGATATTTTGCAGTTATATTCTACACATCAAGCCACAAAATTCAGCCCATTCTAAAACAGCAAAGACTGCCATTTAAAAAAAAAATAGTAGCGTAATGTGATGAGACTTGAACTTCTGTATACAATAAGTAATAGATATGAAAAAGTTCAAAAATATTGTTTAAATGAAATTAAAACGTTAAATCTGAAAGGTATATACACTTCATCTAGAAATCATGGGCTATTTTGATGATGTATAACTGTTTTGATATGATATATATTGAGTGTCAGGAGTGCAACAGAATAGGAGAAAAAAGTATGTTATATAGGTAATAATTTAAAAAAAATTATAGTTCAGAAAAACTTTAAAGATTGCAGATCTCTTTATAAGTTGTCAAACAACAATTCTGTTGAATATTTAATAGAATTTAGTTCATAGTTTGGTAACTTAACCTGATTTTAATAATAATGTGTCAGAGAAATCAATTTAAATATGATCTGAAGTGCATAAGATGCATAAGTTAAAATAGAAATAACATTCAAATGATAGATTTAGGTCTATATTAATCAGCAATGATTACAAATTTTTAAAAATCATGAGTATTTTGTTCTAGTTTCTGTATTTTTTGTTTGGTGTATAATATGTCAGGAGTGCAACAAAAACAGGGGAAATTGGATGTATTTTCATTTTGATATATCTTCTTTATTAAAAGATTTATCAATCAGTTTTTTTTCCTCAGTGAATTTGAAAAAGGGTTCATTTTAATATGGAGAAGTTTTTTTATCAACTAATTGATGATTTATGTTTTAATCAAAACTTTTTCAATCAATTTTAAATGAATTGATACAAAAAAAAGCCAAAAACATAAAAAAAAATGATAATCAAAGAGGAGATTATTAATTATTGCATCAAAAGTAATGTTTGGATCTCTGCAATCAATTGGGGTGAAAAAAATATAAATATTTGATATTGTTTTTCTGAAATCATATTCCAAAAATGTATACTTGATTTAAATTTTGTTTATTGGTTTATGTCAATAAAGTTTCAGAACTTTTTTATTTCTTTATACTTTTTTATATCCTTTTGGATTTATTAACTTAAATGTATATGTATCAAGATACAACAAAAGAAAATGCACTGAAACAATGTTGAAATTTGGGCAAAAATTTAAAATTTGGACCATTTATTTTGACTTTGCCCATAGACAGGTTGACTTGGAGTTGGGATAATGTGCCTGAGTAGTCAGGAGATATGTCTTCTTGTGTACTGTTACTTTATATGTTACCATGACACTTAAAACATGAATATATTCATAGTTCATTATCATGTTAACGTCCTGGATATGGGTGTAATATTTGCCGCTCTACGTTAAGAGGGCACCGCCAATCAACCCAGGTCAAGCTTTTGTAGACTTTTTATTTCCCCTAAAAAGGAATTTTTAAGGTAGATTCATGGTATACCGCCATCTTGGATTGTACAATCGCAGTACACTTTTGGTCTAGATCTTTGCCCAAATCTGCAGATTATTTAATTTCACTTTCAGATATATTGATGATGTTCTTTCCATTAACAATCCAAACTTTTCTGATTGGGTTCAATTAATATATCCCCCAGAACTAGAAATTTAAGAAACAACAGACACGGCTTCCTCCGCCTCATTTTTAGACTTATACCTCAAATTTGACATACACAGTCATCTCAGTACCAGAATCTATGACAAACAAGACGATTTTAATTTTGAAATTATCAATTTCCCACACCTTAGTAGCAATAAACCAACTTCACCTGCATATGGGATATACATTTCCCAACTTATTCAATATTCAAGAGCTTGCAGCTCCTACTCAGACCAAGACCTTGTTGATAAATATTCTGTATCAACTTTAAAAATAATACATGATGGTCTTGATGTATAGATTCTGCGTACTGACGTTGCTTACTATCTTAATAACGTGTTCTATTGTTCTTTTATTTGTCTTTGTTCTATTATTAATATCGCTTTTAATGTTTGGTATGTTTTCTGTGATATCCATTTGACGTGGCTCGGTACTTAAACATCTCGTCAATGTGTTTGTATTATCTTTCATTTTTGCTGGTGTGTTTTGTACGTGTAACTTTATGTGTTTCTTTGGTACATATGACGTGGCTCTGTACTTTCAAAGATCCCACCATTTTATTATTGGTCTATTTTATTACTATTACAAATGTATGTTATTGTTTGATTATAATTTTGAAAATACTTTGAACGACAAAATTATTTTACTCGCGTAGTGGTATTAACCATATGTGGATTCTTAAAAATTCTAAAGAACTTCTGGATAATTTTAAATCTCGGTCTTTTTGTGAAATAAGTTCTAACAAAAAGTTTTGTTTTTCAAACCTGTATACCACCATTCCCCATATGAAATTATGATTTGGAAAATACTTTGAACGACAAAATTATTTTATACATGTATTTCTTTCTGTGTGACGTTTACATTTTCTGGCATCAAACATTGTTATATTTGATAGATGTTTTATGTGCTTCTTTGTTAAATGTTTGTTTGTTTTAAGATTGTGACACAGTGATGACTGCTGTACCCATATTTTGACAATGTTACCTATTATGTCTGTTTTTGTTCCCGCATCGTTGTAAATATAATGGAATTTGATGCGACTGTCATACAAGCGAGAGGTTTAGCGCTATAAAACCATGTTCAATCCACCATTTTCTACATTTGAAAATGCCTGTACCAAGTCAGGAATATGACAGTTGTTGTCGATTCGTTTGATGTTTTTTATCATTTGAGTTTGCCATTTGATTGAGGACTTTCCGTTTTGAATTTTCCTCGTAGTTCAGTATTTTTGTGATTTTACTTTTTTTGGAGACAGATTTGCAATTTATAGGTCAGACTGTTGATTTATAAAAAGAAAACTTGGTGATTTATTGCATTATTCAAAATGTTTAAATAAATACCAAATTTTTGTGTTTTTAGAATCATTTTTTCAACTTGGCCATTTAAGGGGAGATAACTCTTTTAGTAATTTTTTTTATATACTGGACTGATAGGGATATTTGAGTTTTTTACTTGTTTCAAGAAAACAAGTTCGGTGACACCATTTTTCTTTTAATTTTCTTAAAGCATGTTATAAAACCTATCTTCTCATATTTAATTTCAAAATTCTATCTCATAGATTTCTTTTTATGCACAAAAATGTGTTTATTCATGAACAATCACAGCAAATTTGGACAATTTCGTACGACACGTGGCTTGAAAAAAGCACAGTGACCCATACTTTTTATTATATTTTTGGAAAAAATCATAGAAAAAACGTTATTTTGGCAAAGTATAAAAAAATTCTATCTGAGGAAATATATACCTATGATCTACCTTAAAGGACCATTAGGAAGGATTTGACTCTGGTCACTTTTTCATCAAATGCTCTAAAATCTATATCCTTATCTTTGATTTATAAAGCTAGTTGCAATAAATTCTGTCTCTTTTTCATAGGTTGACAAAGCTGTAGGATTATCTCCTGGAGAATTCACCTTTAAAATGGCCTTAAAAACTGCTGCCAAGAGAAAACTACAAAAAGCTAAGCAGATTAGTTTACAAGCAAAGAGGAAACGTCTGGTAAAAAAAATGTCGAAGAGTTGTAAAGAATCAACTAAGGAAATTCATGAAGGTGTTACCTACTCTGAAGCTGCTGAATTACATCAAGATGAAGAATTAACCCAAACAACAGAAATTCCAAATAGATTGAAACTGCCAGAAAATCCCTTCACATATGTTGTATTTGATACTGAAACAACTGGCAGAGGGAGAAATAGTGACATTTTGCAGATAGCAGCTGGTCATGACTTTAATGTTTATGCTCAGCCACGTTGTGAAATTTCTGACCAGGCATCTGCTGCGAATATGTTAAGATATGATAAAAGAACAAATACTATGTTCCATAGAGGTATTCCAGTTACATCAAAACCTATACAAGAAGCTCTTTTGGACTTTATTGACTATTTAAAGAAAGTCCCTAAACCTGTACTTGTAGGGCACAATGCCTGTAGTTTTGACATTCCCATTATTTGCAATAGAATGGCTGAATTCAAATTATTTGCAGAATTTTCGTCTCATGTTTTTGGTTTTGTTGACACTCTGAAAATTTCAAAAATAATCTTCAAAAAGTCTGATGTTGGCAACTACAAGCAGGAAAATCTGGTCAGTAAACTTCTCACCAACTGCACGTATCAAGCTCATGGTGCGAAAGAAGATGTAAGAGTATTGACTACTTTATTTACGGAAAAAATACAGAAGGAAGTCCTTGATGAAGACCTTTTTCACATATGCTTTCATGATGTGAAGAAAAGATATGATAAAATTTTACAACAGAAATGTATATCATTAGCAGCAGTGACGAAGTTGGCCAGAAATGGTGTCTCTCCACTTCATCTTCAATTAGCGCATAAAAGAAACTCTGGTTTAAAATTATTATTAACTGACCTGCATATAAGATTAACCAACAAGAACTTAACATCTATGATTAGTTTTCTGGAGAAAGAAGAGTGAATTTCACGTTGTTTAGTGTTAGCATCACGTACATACATACGCGTACGGACAAGGGTAAAACTTAATGCCCCTCCACTACTTGGGTATGATGTTATGAGGGTGTGACAGTTATAGAAACTTGGGTATGATGTTATGAGGGTGGAACAGTTATTGGAACTTGGGTATGATGTTATCAGGGTGTAACATTTATAGGAACTTGGGTATGATGTTATCAGGGTGTAACATTTATAGGAACTTGGGTATGATGTTATGAGGGTGGGACAGTTATAGGAACTTGGGTATGATGTTATCAGTGTGTGACAGTTATAGAAACTTGGGTATGATGTTATCAGGGTGGGACAGTTATAGGAACTTGGGTATCATTTTATCAGGGTGTGACATTTATATGAACTTGGGTATGATGTTATCAGGGTGTAACATTTATAGGAAATTGGGTATGATGTTATCAGGGTGTGACAGTTATAGGAACTTGGGTATGATGTAATCAGGGTGTAACATTTTAAGGAACTTAGGTATGATGTTATGAGGATGAAACATTTATAGAAACTTTGGTATGATGTTATCAGGGTGTAACATTTATAGGAACTTGGGTATGATGTTATCAGAGTGTAACATTTATAGGAACTTGGGTATGATGTTATGAGGGTGGGACAGTTATAGAAACTCTGTATGATGTTATGAGGATGTAACAATTATAGGAACTTGGGTATGATGTTATCAGGGTGTGACCATTATAGGAACTTGGGCATGATGTAATCAGGGTGTAACATTTTAAGGAACTTGGGTATGATGTTATGAGGGTGAAACATTTATAGAAACTTGGGTATGATGTTATCAGTGTGTAACATTTATAGGAACTTGGGTATGATGTTATCAGGGTGTAACATTTATAGGAACTTGGGTATGATGTTATCAGGGTGGGACAGTTATAGGAACTTGGGTATGATGTTATCAGGGTGTGACAGTTATAGAAACTTGGGTATGATGTTATCAGAGTGTGACAGTTATAGAAACTTGGGTATGATGTTATCAGGGTGGGACAGTTATAGGAACTTGGGTATGAAGTTATCAGCGTGTAACATTTATAGGAACTTGGGTATGATCTTATCAGGGTGTAACATTTATAGGAACTTGGGTATGATGTTATCACGGTGTAACATTTATGGGAACTTGGGTATGATGTTATCAGGGTGTAACATTTATAGGAACTTGGGTATGATGTTATGAGGGTGGGACAGTTATAGGAACTTGGGTATGACGTTATCAGGGTGTGACAGTTCTAGGAACTCGGGTATGATGTTATCAGGGTGTGGCAGTTATAGGAACTTCGGTATGATGTTATCAGGGTGTAACATTTATAGGAACTTGGGTATGATGTTATCAGAGTGTAACATTTATAGGAACTTGGGTATGATGTTATGAGGGTGGGACAGTTATAGAAACTTCGGTATGATGTTATGAGGATGTAACATTTATAGGAACTTGGGTATGATGTTATGAGGGTGTGACAGTTATATAAACTTCGGTATGATGTTATGAGGATGTAACATTTATAGGAACTTGGGTATGATGTTATCAGGGTGTGACAGTTATAGAAACTTGGGTATGATGTTATCAGGGTGTGACAGTTATAGGAACTTGGGTATGATGTTATGAGGGTGAAACATTTATAGGAACTTGGGTATCTATGATGTTATCAGGGTGTGACAGTTATAGGAACTTGGGTATGATGTTATGAGAGTGTAACATTTATAGGAACTTGGGTATGATGTAATCAGGGTGGGACAGTTATAGGAACTTGGGTATGGTGTTATCAGGGTGTGACAGTTATAGAAACATTGGTATGATGTTATCAGGGTGTAACATTTATAGGAACTTGGGTATGATGTTATAGGAACTTGGATATGATGTGATGAGAGTGTAACATTTATAGGAACTTGGGTATGATGTTATCAAGGTGGGACAGTTATAGGAACTTGGGTATGATGTTATCAGGGTGTGACAGTTATAGAAACTTTGGTATGATGTAATCAGGGTGTAACATTTATAGGAACTTGGATATGATGTTATGAGGGTGAAACATTTATAGAAACTTGGGTATGATGTTATCAGGGTGTAACATTTATAGAAGCTTGGGTATGATGTTATCAGGTGTAACATTTATAGGAACTTGTGTATGATGTTATTAGGGTGTAACATTTATTGGAACTTGGGTATGATGTTATCAGGGTGTAACATTTATAGAAACTTGGGTATGATGTTATCAGGGTGTAACATTTATAGAAACTTCGGTATGATGTTATGAGGGTGTGACATTTATAGGAACTTGGGTATGATGTTATCAGGGTGTGACAGTTATAGGAACTTGGGTATGATGTTATCAGGGTGTAACATTTATAGGAACTTGGGTATGATGTTATCAGAGTGTAACATTTATAGGAACTTGGGTATGATGTTATGAGGGTGTGACAGTTATAGAAACTTCGGTATGATGTTATGAGGATGTAACATTTATAGGAACTTGGGTATGATGTTATCAGGGTGTGACAATTTTAAAAACTTGGGTATGATGTTATCAGGGTGGGACAGTTATAAGAACTTGGATATGATGTTATCAGGGTGTGACAGTTATAGGAACTTGGGTATGATGTAATCGGTGTAACATTTATAGGAACTTGGGTATGATGTTATGAGGGTGGGACAGTTATAGAAACTGCGGTGTGATGTTATCAGGGTGTAACATTTATAGGAACTTGGGTATGATGTTATCAGGGTGGGACAGTTATATGAACTTTGATATGATGTTATCAGGGTGTGACAGTTATAGGAACTTGGGTATGATGTTATGAGGGTGAAACATTTATAGGAACTTGGGTATCTATGATGTAATCAGGGTGTGACAGTTATAGGAACTTGGGTATGATGTTATGAGAGTGTAACATTTATAGGAACTTGGGTATGATGTAATCAGGGTGGGACAGTTATAGGAACTTAGGTATGGTGTTATCAGGGTGTGACAGTTATAGAAACATTGGTATGATGTTATCAGGGTGTAACATTTATAGGAACTTGGGTATGATGTTATAGGAACTTGGATATGATGTGATGAGAGTGTAACATTTATAGGAACTTGGGTATGATGTTATCAAGGTGGGACAGTTATAGGAACTTGGGTATGATGTTATTAGGGTGTGGCAGTTATAGAAACTTTGGTATGATGTAATCAGGGTTTAACATTTATAGGAACTTGGATATGATGTTATGAGGGTGAAACATTTATAGAAACTTGGGTATGATGTTATCAGGATATAACATTTATAGAAGCTTGGGTATGATGTTATCAGGTGTAACATTTATAGGAACTTGTGTATGATGTTATTAGGGTGTAACATTTATTGGAACTTGGGTATGATGTTATCAGGGTGTAACATTTATAGAAACTTGGGTATGATGTTATCAGGGTGTAACATTTATAGAAACTTCGGTATGATGTTATGAGGGTGTGACAGTTATAGAAACTTGGGTATGATGTTATCAGGGTGTGACAGTTATAGGAACTTGGGTATGATGTTATGAGGGTGGGACAGTTATAGGAACTTGGGTATGATGTTATGAGGGTGTGACAGTTATAGAAACTTTGGTATGATGTTATGAGGGTGTAACATTTATAGAAACTTGGGTATGATGTTATCAGGGTGTGACAGTTATAGGAACTTGGGTATGACGTTATCAGGGTGTGACAGTTATAGAAACTTGGGTATGATGTTATCAGTGTGACAGTAATATGAACTTGGGTATGATGTTATCAGTGTGTGACAGTAATATGAACTTGGGTATGATGTTATCAGTGTGTCACAGTAATAGGAACATGGGTATGATGTTTATGATGGTGTGACAGTTATAGGAACTTGGGTATGATGTTATCAGGGTGTGACAGTTATAGGAACTCGGGTATGATGTTATCAGGGTGTGACAGTTATAGAAACTTGGGTATGATGTTATCAGGGTGTGACAGTTATAGAAACTTGGGTATGATGTTATCAGGTTGGGACAGTTATAGGAACTTTGATATGATGTTATCAGGGTGTGACAGTTATAGAAACTTGGGTATGATGTTATCAGGGTGTGACAGTTATAGGAACTTGGGTATGATGTTATGAGGGTGAAACATTTATAGGAACTTGGGTATCTATGATGTTATCAGGGTGTGACAGTTATAGGAACTTGGGTATGATGTTATGAGAGTGTAACATTTATAGGAACTTGGGTATGATGTAATCAGGGTGGGACAGTTATAGGAACTTGGGTATGGTGTTATCAGGGTGTGACAGTTATAGAAACATTGGTATGATGTTATCAGGGTGTAACATTTATAGGAACTTGGGTATGATGTTATAGGAACTTGGATATGATGTGATGAGAGTGTAACATTTATAGGAACTTGGGTATGATGTTATCAAGGTGGGACAGTTATAGGAACTTGGGTATGATGTTATCAGGGTGTGACAGTTATAGAAACTTTGGTATGATGTAATCAGGGTGTAACATTTATAGGAACTTGGATATGATGTTATGAGGGTGAAACATTTATAGAAACTTGGGTATGATGTTATCAGGATGTAACATTTATAGAAGCTTGGGTATGATGTTATCAGGTGTAACATTTATAGGAACTTGTGTATGATGTTATTAGGGTGTAACATTTATTGGAACTTGGGTATGATGTTATCAGGGTGTAACATTTATAGAAACTTGGGTATGATGTTATCAGGGTGTAACATTTATAGAAACTTCGGTATGATGTTATCAGGGTGTAACATTTATAGGAACTTGGGTATGATGTTATCAGGGTGTGACAGTTATAGGAACTTGGGTATGATGTTATCAGGGTGTAACATTTATAGGAACTTGGGTATGATGTTATCCGAGTGTAACATTTATAGGAACTTGGGTATGATGTTATGAGGGTGTGACAGTTATAGAAACTTCGGTATGATGTTATGAGGATGTAACATTTATAGGAACTTGGGTATGATGTTATCAGGGTGTGACAATTTTAAAAACTTGGGTATGATGTTATCAGGGTGGGACAGTTATAAGAACTTGGATATGATGTTATCAGGGTGTGACAGTTATAGGAACTTGGGTATGATGTTATCGGTGTAACATTTATAGGAACTTGGGTATGATGTTATGAGGGTGGGACAGTTATAGAAACTGCGGTGTGATGTTATCAGGGTGTAACATTTATAGGAACTTAGGTATGATGTTATCAGGGTGGGACAGTTATATGAACTTTGATATGATGTTATCAGGGTGTGACAGTTATAGAAACTTGGGTATGATGTTATCAGGGTGTGACAGTTATAGGAACTTGGGTATGATGTTATGAGGGTGAAACATTTATAGGAACTTGGGTATCTATGATGTAATCAGGGTGTGACAGTTATAGGAACTTGGGTATGATGTTATGAGAGTGTAACATTTATAGGAACTTGGGTATGATGTAATCAGGGTGGGACAGTTATAGGAACTTAGGTATGGTGTTATCAGGGTGTGACAGTTATAGAAACATTGGTATGATGTTATCAGGGTGTAACATTTATAGGAACTTGGGTATGATGTTATAGGAACTTGGAAATGATGTGATGAGAGTGTAACATTTATAGGAACTTGGGTATGATGTTATCAAGGTGGGACAGTTATAGGAACTTGGGTATGATGTTATTAGGGTGTGGCAGTTATAGAAACTTTGGTATGATGTAATCAGGGTGTAACATTTATAGGAACTTGGATATGATGTTATGAGGGTGAAACATTTATAGAAACTTGGGTATGATGTTATCAGGATGTAACATTTATAGAAGCTTGGGTATGATGTTATCAGGTGTAACATTTATAGGAACTTGTGTATGATGTTATTAGGGTGTAACATTTATTGGAACTTGGGTATGATGTTATCAGGGTGTAACATTTATAGAAACTTGGGTATGATGTTATCAGGGTGTAACATTTATAGAAACTTCGGTATGATGTTATGAGGGTGTGACAGTTATAGAAACTTGGGTATGATGTTATCAGGGTGTGACAGTTATAGGAACTTGGGTATGATGTTATGAGGGTGGGACAGTTATAGGAACTTGGGTATGATGTTATGAGGGTGTGACAGTTATAGAAACTTTGGTATGATGTTATGAGGGTGTAACATTTATAGAAACTTGGGTATGATGTTATCAGGGTGTGACAGTTATAGGAACTTGGGTATGACGTTATCAGGGTGTGACAGTTATAGAAACTTGGGTATGATGTTATCAGTGTGTGACAGTAATATGAACTTGGGTATGATGTTATCAGTGTGTGACAGTAATATGAACTTGGGTATGATGTTATCAGTGTGTCACAGTAATAGGAACATGGGTATGATGTTTATGATGGTGTGACAGTTATAGGAACTTGGGTATGATGTTATCAGGGTGTGACAGTTATAGGAACTTGGGTATGATGTTATCAGGGTGTGACAGTTATAGAAACTTGGGTATGATGTTATCAGTGTGTGACAGTAACAGTAACAGGAACATGGGTATGATGTTATGAGGAAGTGACAGTTATGGGAACTTGGGTATGATGTTATGAGGAAGTGACAGTTATGGGAACTTGGGTATGATGTTTATGAGGGTGTGACAGTTATCGGAACTTGGGTATGATGTTTTCAGGGTGTGACAGTTATGGGAACTTAGGTATGATGTTTTCAGGGTGTGACAGTTATGGGAACTTAGGTATGATGTTTTCAGGGTGGGACAGAAACAGGAACTTGCAATTGGATATGATGTTATGAGGTTGGAACAGTTTTTGGGACTTTAGTAGAACAGATATGACAGGGGTGACAGATATAGGACCATTTGTATTTTTGGCTGTCTAATGGATTGGTTACAAATGAAGATTTCTGGTAGTTTTGGACCTGCTTATATCCTATTGTTTTTTTTTTTTTTTTAATTTACATTGTTCATGTAAAGAACATTTATTTTTCAAAAAGATAAAAAAAAATTATACTTCAATTTCATTGTTCTTCTTTGAGTATATAAGTGTTGCACTGACCATTCAACTGAAGGGGAAGGCCATAGTGCTACTTTTGGAAAAAAATGACGAGATCCCCCAAACAAGTTTAATGGTCGTCTCTTACTTCTGAAAGGTTGACAATTTTTCACTTTAAAAAATTCCATCTAAACTTGCATAAATACTGTAATCACCAACACAATCACCAACAAATCCATATCAAGGAACAAATGTGAAAAAAAAGACAGATACAAATGTACATGCCAATCACACATAAACACCACAAATCAAATAATGGGGTATACAAAACAGAACTTCATTGAACTGATTTTAATTTATAAAAGTATGTGAAAGTTTTCATATTACAGATATAAAAAAGAAAATGTGGTATGATTGCCAATGAGACAACTCTCCACAAGAGACCAAATGACACAGAAATTAACAACTATAGGTCACCGTACGGCCTTTAACAATGAGCAAAGCCCATACCGCACAGTCCGCTATAAAAGGCCTCGAAATGACAATGTAAAACAATTCAAACAAGAAAACTAACGGCCTAATTTATGTACAAAAAATGAACGAATAACAAATATGCAACACATAAACAAAGGACAACCACTGAATTACAGGCTCCTGACTTGGGACAGGTACATACATACAGAATGAGGGAGGGGGGGGGGGGGGTAAACATGTTAGCGGGATCCCAGCCCTCCCCCTAACCTGGGACAGAGGTGTAACAGTACAACATAAGAACGAACTATAAAAATTAGTTAAAAGAGGCTTAACTCATTAGATGGATAAAAATACAAATACTACAAATATAGGTGGACGTGGCCGGGTACTTGTACACCCAAACAACAAAAAGACACAAGTACAGATCTGAGAGTACTCGCAGTTACTGACAGCTAGTTCAAAGACACTAACAACTAATAAAAAAATCATGCATCTAAGACTAAATTATCAATCCGTATACATCCAACATCCAATGCATTTAGTGTAAAGATGGATTTAGGTCTACATAACCACATTACTTATTTTATATATAATAAACAATACATATACAGCTGGTTTGTGTTCCCTGGCCATCTTCTGTTTCGTCTATCCTCATGTACAATTGGAGAAATCATACCAGAAATCTATCTTTCTCATGCAGGGCTTTTTCCTGCTTATTCATAAATATTTGTACAATATTTGTTGGTGTCTAGATTGAAATGAATGGAATAAACACGGCTGCTGTACATGACTTTCATAGTCAAAACGTATGTCTTTTCATCCAATTGCTGCATGCAAACAATTTACCAAACATTGGGCAATAAAGAAATACTCGTTACTCTCAATGGCAATCAGAATGTTATTCTAAGATTCAAAATATAACAGTTTGAAGCACGGAAACAAAATACGTGTTTCCTTCAAAATCAGATACTTGTACATGTAATACAAAGTTTGACCAAAGTTAAATACCCCCCCTACCGGCAGATAGATGTGGGCATAAAAGGTAAGTTAATCACTATTTCCTCTCATTGGTTATGATAAATCATAAAGTGTTACAAGACAAAATGATTCTGTGAAAAAAGAAGCTATCAAATATGACGTTGACTGTGAAATCATCTTTGAAGATCCTCAAAAAATACATTTTTGCATTTTACAGAGATGACATGATGAAGATATAACGCCCATTTCTGTAAAAACCGAAAATACTAAAATCCCTAAGTTCTCAGTTTTTTACAAAAACGGTGGACTGGGAAACAGTATATTTTTTGGCTTTTTGTTGCCATGGCAACGGTTTTATTTTCATAACAACGGTTTTATAATAACCCAAAAAATTTTGTTTTTGTTTTTTAGTACTTTTTTATGAACTTTTGATTTGAAATTTATTATTAATGAATGGACAACAATTGTTTATTCATGTTTTATTCAGTTTTATTTTCCTATTGTCACTTGCATGCATTATTGAATAAGTAGAGTTCGAATAAAGTTTTCCCTAAAAATCGTCGAAAATCGAAATTTTGAGCTTTTTTCACAAAAAAACGGGACGGGTGATATTTGATTTTTTTTCATTAAATGATCGGGTACTCCTCCCTGAACAAAATGATATATCATATTGGTATAATATCACTAAGAAAAAAATCCAGGTATCATGCAAACCTTACCTTAACTTTCACCAGGAACTCTCAAAGATAGATATTTTAAAGCCAAAGAGCGTATAAAAAAGGATAGGAGTGAAGAGCTATATGACCAATAAAGGAACTACACATTCGCCACATTCCTTATGTACCTGTCCAAAGTCCGGAGCATGTAGTTCAGTGGTTGTCGTTACTTAAAAAGTCTATTACATTTTATAAATTGCTTTGTTATTAATTATGCCGTTAGTTTTCTCAATTGAATATTTTCATATTTTTCATGTCGGGGCGGGGCCTTTTATAACCGACTTTACGGTTGCAGTATTCTTTCATTATTGAAGGTCGTGCGGTTGCCTATATATAACCGCTTACATCTTTTTAATTTGAACTTTATTGAACAGTTGTTATACACTTATCCGGGAATTACATTTAGCCCGATAATTTACTCTTACGAAATACTCTTATCCTAGAAATTTCATTTTTATCAAAAAAATATACTTACAAGTATTAACAAGCGGTTCTATTATTTGAGATCGTAAGTTATATTGATGAATTGTATTTTTTTATGCATTTACTATTAATTTAGTTACAAATTCATTTAACTAATACCGAAATAAGAATCATAGCTGCCGAGATCTAAAATGATGTCTCCCATGTATCTGTTACCCCTTAGAAAACTTGAAATAGGAACCAGCTCTAGTTCGCGCTATTTCCGAAGTCCGTTATCAAGATGAAGTTTTCAACAATATTGATGTTGTTTCACTTTTTATTATTTCTTCTGATGAAAAATGTCAACACTCACAGAAATGAAAAAGAAAAGGTATGTATTAATTATTTGTGGCTATTTTTTAATTGATAAAAAGCTTGTACACACAATTTTAATCATCATGGATCAGATTTTTCTGAATTTTTCCCTTGTTCCATTGGTGTTAGGCAGGGAGAGAATCTCTCTCCTTTGCTTTTTTCCATTTATCTAAACGATCTGGAATTGTTTTTACAGAATAATAATATAGAAGGTTTGTGCACTATCTCTGATGAGTTAGAAATAGAGTTAAATGTTTATTTAAAATTGTTTGTCATTTTATATGCTGACGATACTGTCTTAATGGCAGAATCTCAGATAGATTTACAAAGACAACTGGACTCCTTATATGAATATTGTGAGTTATGGAAACTTAAAGTAAATGTGCAAAAAAGTAAGATTGTAATTTTTTCACAAGGTAGACTACCGCAGAATATTGTTTTTAAGTATGATAATATAATACTAGATATTGTGAGTGAATTTACTTATCTTGATGTATTACTGTCTAGGTCAGGAAATTTTTCAAGAGCTAAAAAAAAGCAATGTGAAAAATCAACACATGCTTTGTACGATATTATTCGAAAAGGTAGAGTACATAATCTGTCAATTGAATGCCAACTTGATCTATTTGATAAAATTGTGAAACCAATACTACTGTATGGGTGTGAAGTTTGGGGTTTTGGAAATAATTCAATAATCGAGAGGGTTCATATTAAATTTTGTAAAATATTACTTGGAGTAAAAAAGTCTACTCCTGATTTTATGATTTATGGTGAATTGGGAAGATATCCATTAGATATTTCAATCAAGTTACGAATGATAAATTATTGGTTCAAGTTGGTAACTGGAAAACATGACAAATTGCCTTATATTTTGTATAACTTAGCAACTGTCAAATATGGTACAAATATTTTATGGTTAAAACAAGTCAAATCAATTTTAGACACGTGTGGCTTGTCATATGTATGGAACAATATCTATTTTGTAAATAAAACATGGCTACATGTAACCATCAAACAGAATTTAATAGATCAATTCAAACAAAAATGGCAAGCAAGCCTACAGGAATCACCAAAAGCATTAAATTATCGTTTATTTAAAGATACTTTGGAGTTTGAGAAATATTTAAATATTTTGGATGACAGGCAGATATCCTTATTTTTTAAATTTCGAACTTTGAACATGAAATTTCCAATAGAAACTGGAAGATGGCAAAACATAGAAAGAGAAAACAGAAAATGTGTATTGTGTAATTCAGATGCCATTGGTGATGAATACCATTACATTTTTAATTGTTCAGCTTTTGATAACTGTAGAAAACAATGTATTGCATTTTACTATAGAAATAGACCAAACACTTTGAAGTTTTATGACTTAATGAATTCTAAAAAATGTACAGAACTGAACGAACTATGTAAACTTATTAAGGAGATTAATAACAAATTGAACTTTTCTGGGTGAAGAATTGTGAATGCCTCTATCTACTTTCGTACATTATTTATTTATGTAATTGTATTGAAATATGTATAATTATCTCTATACCTTTGTAATTTGGTTTATGAGAATAAAGATATATATAGTGCAAGGAATATGCCGAAATCTTTTTAACATATAAAATTCTTTCATGTCAAAACAATTAAATCCAAATGATAAAGAGATAAACAAGAAACTTTTTTTTTTAAACTTATACCGCTCCAACCATAACCCAACTTACCCTATTTGATTATATTGACATGTTCTCAAATACCGAAAATACAGAAAATATAGTGTGAGGGTTCAAGAAAAAACTTTAAGGTTTGTCGAGGAAGAAAAATTCGTAAGATATCTTAAGTTTAGATAGGTAATTGTTCTAAACCTCATAACTCATTTAATCTATGATTTTGAACATCAAACTCTTACATTTATATGACAACGGGACGATAATTTTATTTTTGAGAGGGTGTAAAAGGGGGAGGATTAAAATTTTTGTAACTTAATACTTCATTCTTTGTGGATATGAGAATAGGTGTGCATACTTTTGTAACAAATCTAACAAAGGTGATCCCACAATACCTTATACTCTATATTTCAATTTAGCCGGTGATTAAACATTTGTAGTAATTATTCAATCGGAAAGTACAGCATCAAATACTGTACAGCAACATAAACATTATCACAAATCAAATTTAAATATTACTGATCCGACAGAAATAAAAAGATATCATATTTTTTTTTTTGTTCTGGGATTTTATAATACTATTTAGAGGGTACACCGTGTATACATATAATACATAAAAAAAAAAGAGCGGATCGATTGGTTTGAGCGTGCTCGTATTTAAATGAAATTCTGGTAAGCTCATACTTGTATATTATTTATTTTTTTCCCTTCTCAATAACTAGATACAATATGAGTTTACAAATACGACCGATTTATTTTACTTAAAAAAGTGTTTTCTCATTTAAATGGATATTTTGATATATATGGACCTTCGTATTTTCCTGGAATAAAATTCAAGTAATTTAATTGATTATATTATACACTTACAGTGTATACAAAAAAATCTTGAGCTATACTCCAAAGGTACCACCGCTCTAAGCCCTCTTTGTTTGTTTTAATGTATCAAAATAAGCAGTATATGCAACTGAACCAACCATTACAAAATTAATAAATCTGTCAACATTCAGTCATTACCGTCTCCTCAGACTGCGGCTTTCTTACTACCTGATTGGAAGATATTACTGACGCTGTAATAATTAAAGTTCTTTGATTGGTTGGGACAATTCAAACCTAGTAAATGTCTTTTAATCCCGTAGAGTGTCGGATCTGAACTAATTTAGTAATTAGATGTGCCTGGTTCCCAATCATGCATATCGGTACAGCACAGGTAACACTTATCTATAATAGCCGAATCTCCTGAAGATTTGTAAACACACACGTGATTATTTCAATCCAGTCGCTCACTGTTACGTACATTTTATACGTGAAAACATAAGAAAACTTTTAGGAAAATGTTTTTTTCTTAGGTTATATTTATTTATACTCAGTAAGAAAATCTAAAGGCAACACAAACATTTTAAAACGGAGATATCAAATAATTTCTTTTCGATTAATATTAATTTACACGAGAATTTTTATCTCTGAGGGCGGGGGCGGGGGCGGCGGTACTTCGACCTTTCTATGGCAGGGGTGAGCAGCTGAGACATCCAATACCCCACCCTTTATATATATATATATATATTGAATGATAAAAGAACATACATGTAGTTACCCTAGCTATCATATATTTTTTTACAATAAGTATATATACCTGCACATAGCTATCATTGTTACGCTATTTCATGGGGAGATACTAGTAAATAGATTTGACAAATATCTTAAACATTTACGAAAGTGATTTTAGAGACATCTATACACAATCTCTGGTGATTTTAATTGCATCTGTAAAAAAAATATCGACATCTGATTAGTTTCAGATTCAATCATCAACCTTGTCTTATATTTCACCTAAATTTCTCGACCTCATGCAATATCATGAAGCTTCAAATAGTGATCTATCCCAGCGACTCATCCCTTCCACTCATTACATAATAAGTGCCCCCGCACACACCCCAAGTTCGTTGGGCTAAGTTGGATGTTGTCTAGATCTACCTAGCTAGCTCTTCCTAGCAAGATAACAGACGTTGAAGAACAGAAGGTTAAAAATATATCTAAAAGGGAATATTAGAAGAACAAAAAACTACTCTCAGACGATAAAAGCAATTATACGTGTATGCTAACATATTTTAAGCAATGTTTAATTTCTATGAATGATTTTTAAGGAGATGTGAAGTATACATAATTAATTTAGACAGCAGCCCAATTAAGCAACAAACAAAACGTGACAATTTACTTCTAAAGTTCAATCTACGGTCTTCTTCAATGGACATGTCATTACAACATTTTAAAGTTTTTTTATCCTCCCAAGTCTAACTATAATATATAGAATAGTTGTGAATATGTGAGCCACAATTTGTTCCTGTGAAAAAAGTTCCAGTGGAACAAATATCACAGGAAATATATTCTGGGAGAACTTTTTTCACAGATAATTTCTATATGATTTGTTCCATCTCTATAAAATAAGTTCCACAATTTACCTTGTGAAATAAGTTCTGGGTTTGTGAAATTTGTTCCTTACCTAGTGAAATACGTTCTGGGTTTGTGAGATTTGTTCCTTACCTGGTGAAATAAGTTCCTTGTCTGTGAAATATGTTCCACTAGTTATACAAGTTATCTTTAATACTGAGCATTGTTATCAGTGAGTTTAAAGTTATAATTCAAGTACATTATAAAAACATGTATTAAATTGATAATGTAATAAATAAAAGGTGTAAACATCCAATATGGATTCTGTGGAGTATAGCAAAATGTTTAATTACATTATCCATAAAAAAAAATACCAAAATGACAATAATTTAATGAGTCAGAAAAGCGAAGAATAAGAAAAATCCATCAGAAAATTTTTATAGATCAATCATTTATTTATGAATATTGCAATTCAACATATGCTACTTCATATCATAATTTGTAGAAAAATGAAATAGTGTGTTTTAAATATTTATCACAGTTGTTAATCATAGTTATGCATTTGTTTTTTAATCATATTATCTACGTACAATATACATGATATTGAATTTCTGAAAGATTTACCTTATTTTGAATGTTTTCGTGTTGTTTAAAGACTTCAATGTTGAGTATTAAATTTGTCAGGTACAACTATAGAATGTTTTGCTTGATATAAAGTTAATGCATCATGTTAATTTATTACCTAATAAAGAGTATTTTACTGTTTTATTAATATTTCTATATTATTTGCTATTTTTCTGCCATTTTTTGTTCCATGGTTTATTGCACTGGAAATTATCGTTCTTTTGCACCTGTGTGCAGTCTATTGCACTGACCTGTTATGACCTCTTATTCTGAAATCTGATTAGTTTAAAGGTATTCATGTTGTCCAATCAAATTGGGTATTTTAAACGTTCTTGGGTTTATTGTTTGATCGTTTATTTAATATGTTGACTTTAATGATTTCTTGTTATTTAAATTACTCTGATTTCATGTTCGTTTTATTGAATTTCTAAAGTATTGGTTGTACATGTATGCTCCTTACACATTATAATTAATACAGTTGTTACTTTCATGTGTTTTATTTCTAAAAATTTGCCAGTTAGAACTGACTCAGTATGTATTAGGTAATAAAACAGTTATTGAATGTGTAACAGTGCAATAGATCAAAATATATTTCCCTCGGTATGAAGATCAGCTCATTGTTCTATTGCCCTCAGCCGTTGGCTTCGGGCAATAGAACAATGAGCTGATCTTCATACCTCGAGAAATATATTTTGATCTATTGCATAGTTACATATTAAATAACTGTATACTATAACACCCGGAACTTATTTAACATTTAGTAAACAAATTAGTTCCGGAACAAATTTTACAGTGCTGGAACATATTTGAAAGGCCATATAATTTGCCTCAATTTGGGATAGACTCTTGAATTTTGAAAGAGTCAAAATATGATGAACGGATCATATAAACCCGAAGGCAAATATAATACAAGCCCAAACAAAAAAATATAAACAAGTCTAAATTGAAAACAACGTTCAAACCTATGATTGCGTTGCCAATGGATAAAAACCGCAATTTTTATACGTGTGCATGCACAACAAATTTCTTGGTAGAGGGGTCTAAATACAGCACAAAAAACATTTAACAACAGACCAAATGAGTGAAAAAGTATATTTTAACAACACGCATTTGACTAGCAGGTCGAACCACTGATGTTCTTAAACCCTGCTGACTATATGTATATATAGTGTCTAAAATAGCATCAATCAACATTCAATCTTTCTAGGCGTGGATCAGTTTGAAGATTAACTGATGCAGTTACTAAATTAAATTATATGAATGCCTAAGAATGTAACTTTAATACACTAATGAGTGTTATAAAAATAATTGTTATATTTTATATATTCACGCAATATTTCGCTCATAGAATTAGCTTCATCAGGCGCGTGCAGCCATCCAGGTAAAAAAATCGGAGGCTGTAAAGAAATTTTTGCAGCTTAATATACATGTCTTTAATATATTTTTGCAGCTTATTGTACATTGCGATTCTTAAATCAAAACAAATAATTGTGTTAGTAATAATCACCGGTCATTTTATACCAAAGGAAGAAACTGTCTAATCACGAGACACCTCTTAAGGACAGGACATACTTTTGAGAATATCACCTTTCAAATAATAAAGGTAAACCAAAATTGGAACACCCAAAGTAGAAAGCAGAGAGAAAGATTCTGAATGCATCAGCTACGTACTCTTGACCCTTATGGACTAAATGAGAGACATGAAAAACAGTTTTATCCAAAACCAAAGGAATAAATCCTGAACTTCATACTATTTAACTAACACAATTATTTAGTGTTAACTAGTCAGCAAGGTTTAAGAACATCAGTTGTTCGACCTGTTAGTCAAATGCGTTTTGTGAAAATATACTTTTCACTTTTTGGTCTTTTGGAAAATGTTGTTTGTGCTGTATTTAGACCCCTCTACCAAGAAATTTGTTTTGCATGCACACGTATAAAAATTGCGGTTTTTATTCAACGCAATCATAGGTTTGAACGTTGTTTTCAATTTAGACTTGTTTATATATATATAATCTATAATACCCGGAACTTATTTAACATTTAGTAAACAAATTAGTTCCGGAACAAATTTTACAGTGCTGGAACATATTTCCTTATAATGTATATTCCGGGTATAAATTTTCTGTGATTTAAATTCCGGTGGAACATATTTCATAGGAAATAAGTTCCGGCAGAACAAATGTCACGCCGGAACAACTTGTTTGTTACAAAAAATAATTCAGATATTACTTGAAGCTATGAGCAGGGTCAGGAACAAACTTCTAATGTTTGTTTTGGGGTTTATTGACTATTTATACTAGACATGCTATATGAGAGAAAGAGAAATAAAAGAAAATTATAAATTTAAAAGACGAAAATACTGTTGGCATTTTAAAGGATTATTCTTAATTGTATGTTTTCTACAAGAATTGTAAAACAAGTATAAACATACATATACTATGATCATAAAACAAAAAGCCATTTATATGTCAACATACGAACGGTCTCCAAATAAAAAAGATTATGTCAAGCTTTTAAGGGTAAGTATGATAAGGGCCTTATTCGTCATCCAACATTTGATGGTATAGTAAATAAATATGAAGATATTTACCAGTAAAACAATAACAAAAGATACAGTATCAAGCTGTATGCTTAATAAAGTTTTTGGTCAAATTTGTTGAATCTCTTATGTTGATGGCCTCATAGTGAACTTAAAATAGTTTTGCAGAACTTATCACCTTCTTTATAACCAACGACGTCCATTATAATTTGAAAAAGAATGGCGGCGAAACTACTATGTTTTGAATTGCAGGCGCTTACAATAGGTCTTATATAACTAATTACCCGTCTCACGACTCTGAGTATTTTTCATCAAAAAATATAATCAAGAAGTCCAATAAAACCAAATAATCTGAAAAAAGAAACATTTAATTGTAAGGATACTCATTATTCAAATATAGAAAAAGAGGCGTGGGGCATTCCATATTGCAGTCCAACTACAATGAATAGACAAAATCTTCATCGACAACAAAAATAACCATACATATATGTGAAGCTTTACATTTTAAGGATCATTTTTGAAAAGATGTGAGATACCATTGGAAATATATTAATTGTGTTCTTGTATGTTTAAATTTTACTACGTTTCACTCTCTACACTTTTCGATGACTATTATGAACGAAAAACTTCCAGGTGGAAGCGGCCATACTTTTCTAACACAAATAAATAAGCAAACAACCAAAGAAAAAGTCAACGAACAACTCCGATATCTGTTTGAAAAAAAATAATCGATAAAAAGACATTACCCCTCCATTTCCAGTGTTAATACTTTCCCCAAAAGAAATTGGTAAATCTAAAAAATTGTAAAAGCCTTTTATAATTTTTGTAATCCACTACAATTTACATACAATTCTGAACGAATTAAACTACAGAGAGAAAACATTATCCACTTTCATCAGCTATGAGACGGCTAGCTTTTTAGAAAAGCTATTACTTGTTACTAATAAGCCTTCAAATAGATATTTGAAGGCTTATTAGTAACAAGTGCCTTGTAATCTAGCATCGTGTTTCAAACATTTTAACTTTCTTCAATAGGTTATCATACGATAAAAACTATCATAATATATCCCAAAGTTGTATGGTTTTAAAACAGATATTCAATTTATTCAATTCCTGAAATACAATCGCTATAGGTAATCGTTTTATTGCTGCTCATTCTGAAATTCAACATTAGCAAAAGCTTCATTCTCTAAATGTTGTATATAGCTTTTTTCAACTGAATCCATGATTATGAAATAGATTTATTTAATGATACAAGTGGGATCATTTTTTGGTTTGATCATTTTGTATGAAATACATGGGATAAAAAAAAAATAGTAATTATAATTCAAATTGGATGACTAATTGATTGTTATTTGCTTAAATAAATGTGGTATGAATGCCAATGAGACAACTTTCCATCCAAGTCACAATGTGTAAAAAGTAAACAATTATAGGTCAAAGTATGGCCTTCAACACGGTGCCTTGGCTCACACCGAAGTCCAATTGCAATTTGTTATGAATATTCAGGAGAGAAACTATAAACAATACAGTAGGCACGTATTGCATGGTATGTCGACTGGAATGAATGGTTTGAAATTTGGACTGCCATAACAAAAAATAAAAAAGGAGCATTAATACATATTTTCCCTTCATAACAAATCAGCATGTGCGCAGCCAAAAAAAAAATGCAAAGGAATAGTAATTTTTTTTCATCATCTCAAAGTCAGTGAGGCCTTGAACACAGAGCAAAAAAAAAAAAAAAAAAAAAAGGAGCATATACATTTTTTATCTTTTTACATATTTCCGGGATAAGGGTACCGACATATTAAGTAAAATTGTAAGCGAAATTTTTCAGATAAATTTCGATAAAGGTATAATCTAAAAAAAAAAACATAAAACATTGTTAATCTTTATTTAGATAAAGGTATACACATCGTCGCATTATATATGACTTGAAAGTGAAATGTTTTGTTTATTGGAACATATTGGCCACACGACTTTAAAACGGAAAAGCATTTAAAATAAAAAATGTGAGCAGTTTGCACAGAATATACGAAATAGATATATATATGAATACATATATACAAATATGTTATTTTGATGAGAAAGGGAAGACTTCTGAAAGCATCGCAGTTACTGACCGCTTTTCCCTGCATCACATGTTTTCCCTTCATAACATATTTCCGGCATAAGAGTACCGACATA